ACTGAACAATCAGACCCCCAACTCCTATTCAGATGCAGATTGAAAAATAAGTTAAGTTTAAAAACCAATAATATACTTCCTACTAGACACATTTCACCAGTGAAGGCTTAAAGATCTGAAACTGAAGTAATGGAAGACTACTTTCTCTGCAAATGTAAACCAAACACAATCACGAGTAATCATGCTATATGAGAAAGAAATAGATTGTTTAGCCAAAAAAACTAGATAATGATACAAAGAAAGACAGCACGTTATCCAAAATATCGTCAATTGGAAATAGTAACTGTCCTGCACTCACTGCAGGAAAATACTACTATAAAACTAACAACATTCATTATAAAAGGAAACATAGCCTCAAACAGCATAAAAGTTGGCAGCAGCTCTTCCTGTAAGCGCCCAGAGGTGACCTGTGAAAATGGCTTGCTACTCTCTCGACCCAGAAAACCCCACAAAATCATGCAAGCCAAGAGGTTCCAATCTTCATGTTCACTTTAAGAGAAACAGCACTTTAGAGAAACAGCACAGGCCATCAAGGGTATGCATATCTGAAAAGAGACTAAGTATCTGACAGATGTCACGTTAAAGAAGCGTGTGCCATTCCGGCGTTACAATGGTGGAGTTGGCAGGTGTGCTCAGGCCAAACAGTGAAGCTGGAACAGGGTCAGTGGCCCAAAAAGAGTGCTGAATTTCTGCTGCAAATGCTTAAGAATTCAGAGAGTAATGCAGAACTGAAGGGTTTAGATGTAGACTCCCTGGTCATTGAACACATCCAGGTGAACAAAGCACCTAAGATGCGCCACCGAATTTACAGAGCCCATGGTAGGATTAACCCATCCATGAGCTCCCCCTGCCACATTGAGATGATCCTTACTGAGAAGGATCAAATTGTTCCTAAACCAGAGGAGGAGGTTGCACAGAAGAAAAATGTATCCCAGAAGAAACTGAAGAAACAAAAACTTATGGCACGGGAATAAATTTAGCATAAAATAAACTCAAATAAATCGAAAAAAAAGTTGGCAGCATCAAAATCCACTGATAACAAGGAAGGATCACTCAGACAATAAATCAATCACAACATATTAAAGTATACTGTAAGCCAAATTGGTCTAAGAGACTACAAAACATTCCATTTACACAGAAATGGAGACAAAAGGTGACCAAATGCAACAGTAATATTCACTAGACATTATGTTGAAAATGAATTATAACACCTGTGGGTGGAGACAGGAGGGAAAACCTGGGAGAGAGCAAAAGAAGGGGTAACATTGCCCAGAAAGAAATGTCCTCATTACCTGATCTATGAAGCTCTAACTCCTCTGTAGAACTCCCTTATAATAACAATTTTTAACAAAACATTTCACATAAATGGATGACATTGATCAAGATGCATTGTATTCATGAATGCATTGGCTGAATGCTAACTACTTTGTACAGCTCTAACAAATGCACCTTGTTTTTCTGGAGCAATCTCCAGGACAGATGGTACTTTATCCAACAAACCATTTTCCAACATACTTTTAAAAACTGAAATTATTCTCTACATCTTATTTGCTAATGAACTAAAAGTAGAAAATAACAACTTAAGGAATTATATAAACGCACACAAGGTACATGATAGTCACTTGAACTACCAAAGGACTGATGGAAGAAATCATGAAGGAA